CTTCAAGATCCTTTCTATCAGTCAGTAGTGTCAGCTGGCACAAACTGGAGACCTATACCAACTCCTTATCCTCCCTATTCCTAAACTGACTGACCATTTTCTCTATAAAAGCATTAAATGGCCCATACTTTGAGAGATTTTTGCCACCCCATGTTTAGCCCAGAGTTTAGTCCCAAATAAGCCCTGTACTAGCATTAGCAATAATTTGACTTGTCACTATTCACTTTATAAAGCCTCCAGATAAAATGCAGATTGTCTCCTGTATCCCTCCTAGTGTCTGCAGGAAGAGTAAAGCAACAGAGAGGAAGGAGAAAAAAAATGGCCCAAATTCCAGATACAGGGTAAATGCTGCAGTACAACTGCTAATCAATCAAACAAAAAAAAATTATGGATTCTGGCTGAGAAATTAACTGCCATTTTAAGGTATGCTTTGACAACAAACCTGAAAAACAAAACAGCCTGGACATCTTTCTTCCAAGAAAGAAAAAAGCACCAGCTATAGATTAGAAGAAGTCTTTTTTCAATCGAGTCCCTTGTTTACTATGCATCAATGAATACAAAAGATCATCGAGTGGTGTTAGGAGTTGTAGATCATGTTAGAAAGCTCATGGACATAATGTGGTTTTTATTCCCTTGATATTTTTTGCCATAGCACATGACTCATGCAAAGTTGCCTAAGCTCATGCAGCAGCTTTACCCAAGCTCAAATAGCGACATCTCCACTTCACATTCATGCACACAACTAGTCTGTATGGTAAATTACACATTGATTGATCAGGGTACGTGCCAAGAAGAGGCCATAAGAAGATATAAATTACCCTTTGCTCTAATTTGTAATCATGCTGTCGAACAGCACTTTGCTGTACTACATAGACCGTATTGGCTTTAACTCACTCATTCAGTTACCAACTCATTTAGCAGCATTAAGCACAATGCAGGAGGATTAATGTGTTAATATTTCATGAAAATATGTGGCTAATTAGTAATTTATTGCTCTTGGGGATTGTTTCACCTCTGTGCCAGGCAGAGAGCAACACTTTCTAGGAATCATGCAACAGAGTGATACAGGACTCTGTGATGGTTTGGTGTGTGCAAGGCTGGTGGACTGATCTCTGAGGAAGATGTCCTCTAATGACTTGTGGTAGTATATGCATATAGAAATAGACTATAGATGTGTATAGTATTTAAGCAGCATAAAGGCGATGAGCTACAAAAAACTCACACATTTTCTTATATACAACTGGCTACATGATTATTCACTAAATCACTCCCTGATGCTTGCCTGTCATAGGATGAAACCAAAAAAGGCCCCAGACTGCAGTTACAGAACCCACCTGTCACCCCAACCCTGGCAGAAGTTACTGACAATGCATGTCAAGGATGCTGAGCAGAAATGACAACCCTTTCCTAAACCGTGTTTGAACACAGCTCAATCACTTCACTAAACAGTAACTGAGCTGCTTCAGTAAGGAGCAGCTTAGAGCTGCAGGCTAAATTCATAAGCTAGGAGTACACAGGTTTTCCAGGACTCTCAGTACCACACTCCTTTACACAGACTGCTGAATTCACTTCAGCATGCGATGCTTCTCTGAAACAGATGACTTAGCAATCCTCTAGCTTTCTTCATAAGATGTTTTCACTTCCTTCTTCAAGCACTGTAAATCAGAGGTCTCCATTAACGTCATTACAAACAACACTTTCAGCCTGATCCCATTAACCAGCTCTGCATTCACATAAAGGATTGCTGAATGGTAGCATTCTATCAGGAAGAGCTTTAAAAAAAAAAAAAAGGCGCATTTCTGTGTTTGTATGCAACACTAGTAGTAGGAAATACTCTCAGGCATTGAAATATACATATCCAGTATGCCTGAATTAATGTTGGAGGCTTTGTGTACATGCCAGAAATGATACAAGCAAGAAAGATGACTAGTAGGTAGTATTTGATTAGTATTGGCATAAAACATCACATTACCATTTGTTTCCTTCATGAAGCTCAAGACTTAAATGCAAGACTTCTAACTTAATATACATACACACAGGGAAAGTAAATATTCAATTTAGCACAAAAACAACAAAGTTACAATAAAAATAAGAAAATCACTGTTGCTTTGAAATGTAACTTGGAGTAAAAATATTTATGAAGTATTCCATAAAAAGAAAAACATGCTACCTGATGAAAAGCACAGTTTTAATCTCATCTGTTTATGCAAGATGCTTTAAAGTTATACTCCGAAAAAATATGCTGAAAATGTTACTCTATTCATGTCCCCACACACACTATATATACACCATTATGACATTTGGATATATATTAGATGACGGTAACATCACTAATATTTCTTTAAAAATAAATTCAAGATAGAATAAAGTACAATATAGAATAACCACATTCAAAAAATCAGTATGTTCCATTTCATTTATATTACAGGGTTTGTTTTTTGCCTCATATTTGAGGCACATTTCTTTTTGTCCTTGTGTCATAAAGCAGATATACTAACATGCACTGCAGTCCCTGAGGGAAAGAGGAAAACCTCTGAGGGAAATATGACCAAGTTTAACAACCCAAAGAAATACTTACTCAAATGAGTTTAGACCCTTTTTCCCCCCTCCCCTCCCTATTTTTCAGAAAGCTGTTAGACAGACTGTAGAGGGCTTTTCCTCCAACTTTCTTCTGAAAAGTGACCTCAAATAGCACAGTAATATTCATAGCTATGACATTCAGTAATCAACAGTTTCTATCCCTACTTCCTCTTCAAAAAGAATACGTAGGTCCTTGTTATTCTGTATAACACCTTGAAACCACGATAACCTGACTTCACTCATGTATCAGCACTTCATGCGACCACTGAAGTTTGTTTACTGACACATCTCTTCCATACACTGGGCAGCCTGTCAACCTGAATGCTCACCTTTCCAAAGGCTGCAAAATCTCACTCATCATATTAAGAAAAAGCTGGCATCTGGTACATTCACAGGAATTCAGATGAAAGAGAAACTCTTCCCCCAGCACGTTACTATATTCCCTTGATCTGCAGTCTGGAAATGCTGTGTGTCCTTGCATGCTACTTTAAAGTGTTTTCTCCTTCCTGCTTTGAAGTAATTCAGTTTGTCTTGCATGAACTTTTTTTTTTTATGCAAGTTTGGCCTTATCAAGAGGGCTCAAGAAATACAGTGGAAAGTTCCCACAAGAAATTGTGGGATTTCAGCCACGTATTTTACATCATTACATCACTGTTGAAAATTATCACAGGGGAGACAGGATATATTTTTAACCAATTAGCAACTCACAGATAATGCTGTAGAAATTCAGCTTGCAGTCCTAAAATGTAGCAAAAAAAGTGATTTTGACATCAGCGCCCCTGAAATAGGTCCCAAAGCAAAGTTAATTTTTAAGTATTATCAAATTAGATGCTGATGCAGAATGCAGAACATGCCAGACATGGTATTTATTATTTTAATCCAACTACCCTCCAGAGAAAAAAAAAGCCTGGATAGTAAACTAGCTTTGTAGTTTATAAATTTAAATCAGAAAGGAAATAATACTTCCATCTACTCAATCCCTTTTAAACTCCTTTCACTTTTGCTCAATGATAACATATGTAGGACCCAGAATCAAAAAATTCATTTTACAGGTTGGATAATTTGTTTTCTCCTTGCAAAGCTGAGAAATTACTGGGAACACTTGTAGCACTGACCTATATTACTTGTTTAAACAATGCCCTCTAAAAATAGGCAAAATAATACAGTGGAAGCTTTTCTACATAGGATTATTTGAAAGTATCGCATTCATAAGAATATGAGAATGGGGCAAGGAATAACACCAAAATTTCAATGATTTCAAAGTATTAAAGAGTAATTAATTTACAGGATGGCTAAAAATAAAATAAAATTTAAAAATAATTAAAGATAACAAAAGGTTTTGGCTTGGACTTTACAACTGAATTCATATCATAGTTAAGGAAGGCTAACAGATGACTTCTACACATGACCACAAATTCATTACTCACTAATGAAAAAGAAAAAAAAAGTCATGCTAAACATGATTACTGCCCAATATAATTTTATAATATCAGTTATTCAGTATATTGGGCTTTGATACAAAGTGATATATATATATAGATATACACATACCTTTTCTTAATGACAATTTCACTTAGGATGAAAACCGAATTAGCTAGTTTTCCATGATGAGAAGCAGTATTTTCATTAGGAATTTGCTGCTTTATGTTTTCTAACTACATAAATGTTCTAATATAGTTCCCTCAGATTAAAACCGAACTGCAGTCTAAATTTTCTCATTGAACAGCATTAAGTTAACCTGAACAGTAATTTCTGTTTAACCTCTTGATGCTTTTTACTTTTCTGTACAAAGCAAAGCCAAAACAAGATAAATATTTGCATATACCATTAAAAGAGGTCTAAGGAACACCAGCATGAAAGCCTTCTGCTAGATTAGCTAATCCATTTTTGACCTTCTTAGGCTATTTCTTCCCCTTTAGTTTTAATCAGTAAACTTCTTTCACAAAACCACAGAACGTTAGGGATTAGAAGGGACCTTGAAAGATTACCTAGTCCAATCCCCTGCCAGAGCAGGAATACCTAGATCAGGTCACACAGGAACATATCCTGGGGGAGTTTGAATGTCTCCAGAGGAAACTCCACAAGGCCCTGGGCAGTCCCCCTAGAGCTCTGTCACTCTCACCACAAAAAAGTTTCATCTCATATTTAAGCAAAACCTCCTACATTCCAGCTTGCACCCACTGCCCCTTGTCCTGTCAATAGATGTCACTGATAAGAGCCTGGCTCCAACTTCCTGACACTCACCCCTTACATATTTATAAACATGAGGGCACCCCTCAGTCTCCTCTTCAAGTTAAAGAGACCCAGCTCCCTCAGCCTTTCCTCATAAGGGAGATGCTAGAAAACTATTCCTGCAAAACAGAAATCTTAAAAACTTCAAGCACCTACGACAAAAGTATTTGTATGCCACACTATCATACCTCAAAACATGGTTCTTCCAGAGCTCTCAGTTTGCTTTCTAACACAGGGAAACAAATGCAACCAACTCTTACTGCTAACCCTACCTGGGGGGAAATATATAACCTAGCTGCAGCACATAGTGTAGTCTTAAACCAGGAGTTCAAAGCATGTGTTCAGACTTAAATCCTTAATTAGAAGCCCAATTACTGTCAGGGAAGGGTGTTGGCTTCAGTGTGAATTACAAAATTAGTAAGGTCTGGAAACAAATGTTTTGCTAGCTTGTGTGCACAAGGCTTTTTTGATTATTATTTTTTTTAAATACATGAAAGAGTGCACCAGATGAGGCAGTCGGTATTACAGCTCTGTATTTATAGCCATCTCACTTTATTATGCCGTAAATAATACCACTGCAGAAATAATCAATGGTTTATTTGCATTGAGCTGCACTTCTCAGTGAGATAGTACAACAGGAAAATATCCTCCCTGCTTCATGCAACTTGACTCTTACAGGAGAAGCCATTATCGTGGAGAATTCAGAAGCATTTCCTTAGCGGTTTATCCTCAAGATATAATCATGAGTCTTGGTGAATAAGTTTAACACCACAACTACGGGTGCTATAATTGTTGAATAAGGCACAGACATAAACCCCTAATGTATGGAGCTCTCAATACTCCAGCTCACATCTTGACTTAAAAGCTAATAGTGCTCTTTTATGGCCTTCGTACTGTCCTGCACTTGGAAGGAATCATCCACTTACTTTTCCAGAAGCTAAGGAATATAGATTAAACTCTGAGGAAAACAGATTAAACTCTCCTTTCACACTAGATTTCCGGACCACCTAGATAGTCAAAGTGCCTTCATGGACGCTTAGAAAATCTGGAATTGAGTATTCTTCAAAGTCAACTGGATTGGATTGTAATATGATTTGGAAAGCAGCTGTGGAACCAACCACCCCATAATTCCAATCATAATTCTGGTCAAAACAAAGCAACAGCAAAAATAAGTGAAATAATAATTCACGCCACACTTCAGTATATTCTACTAGAAAAATCATATCATTAAATACATTTTATGAGTGCTTATGAAGAAAATAAATACCCTGGGGTGGAACACAAGAGAAAGACTTAGTCCAAAATATACACTGCATTTTATATACACAGCAAACTTAAAAAGGCTGCTACATCAGCTTCTGCAAATTCCATGAATTTTATGTGCTTTCTGTTACTAAACAAAATAAAAGCACCAAAGAATATGCGGTGCTAAAGTTTATACAGGCTACAGATAAAACATCTTGCCTCAACCACTACAGCACTAACTGGTGGCTATTGGATCTCCTGCTGTTGATCTACAAAAACAGTAACAAGAATAATACTGAAGTATAGAGGCTACATCCCTGATTTAAATTTAGATTATTAAAGCATTTAAATAATCTCCCCTTCCTTTAATCCAGCCAAAGTTCTACTGAGAAGCCACCTGTGTGGATAGCACTCATTTATAAAAAGTGTGGGTGAATGAATGTTAAATTTAGTTCACCACATATCTGACTGAAGCAAATCTCTGCATCATCTGGGCTGTCTTCAGTACTGGGCACTAGAAAGCTCAAGAGCATGAAAAGAGTCTCGTTCCTGCACAACAAACCAAACATGGCTGAAGTCCACTGATGTTGAAATTTGCATTGCCACTTTCAATACTCAAGTATTTTGTGGTAAAATGTCTTCTATCTCCAACAGTTTTGAGATAGAAAGTTTCACTACCATTACATGCTTTGAAAAAAAATAATTTTAATCGTTCCATTAAATTATAATAAAATAAATACAGTGAATGCATGCATACATTAAAAAATGGGTATAAAAGATTTTTACTCATGATTTTCAACTTTTTGAGTTTTAAATTGTATTTGTTGTATTTGTTGTACTTGTTTCATTAAAACACACATTTTAATTTTGCAGAGTATGCATTGTATGACAAATGTCATACATTGTCCTTTAAGTCCTTTCCTTCTTTGCCAATTCCCTTAAACCGTATGCAATAGAAGTGAGATATATTAAGTTTCATCTTGCCAGGAAGAGCCCTTGCTCACAGGTATAGATGTGTAGGTTGAAAGGAAGAAATAGGATTGTCTCAGCACTCTTCCTTATCTCATGCAGCCAGAGCTACAGTTAAGATGATTTTGGAAGTATTTTTGTTAAAAAAAAAAAAAAAAAAAAAAAAAAAAAAAAAAAAAAAGATTAAAGGCTGAAACAGACTTTGTGGATTGCTGTGGGTTTGATTTTTTATTTTTTTTTCTTTACTGAGCTGTTCTGGAAATGCTACAACATAGCATGCCTCAGGTTTGCATATCATGATGAGCTATGCAAAAGGTTTTCTTTAAGTAGTTCTTTCTTCAAGGGAACAAAACCAAGGTTGGGTAATGCTTGGGCACCTGTTTCTTCTGTCACAGTCAACAACTGCAGGTGTCAGTGTGGCACTGGCAATACCAGCTGCTGGTTTCTCAATAAGGAGATGCACACAGGAGACAAAACAGAATAGACCAAAGACAAAAGCTGGCTAAAGCTTTAATTCAATCTTTATGTGCTTCTTGTGATAGTTCTCAAAAAGACATGTAAATAGTTGGGGCATCAGTAGTCTGAAAACAAGAGATGCTACCAGTGTTAAGCTACTGGCTATATTAGCAGAGCATAGCTGCCAACCAAGACAAATGATTCTTCCCCTTTGTTCATCACTTACAAGAACAGGTCTGAAGTGCCATGGAGTGAAATGAGTTGACAGTCTGGAGCAGCTCCAGTGCAGAGCCACCAAAATGATTTGGGGGCTGGAGCACATGACACAAAAGGAAATGCTGAGAGAACTCAGCCCTTGTTCAGCCCTGAGAAGACAAAGCTGAGAAAAAAACTGGTGTCTACATCTATATGTTACATGTTGGGATGACACATGTTGGGATGGAGTCAGATTCTTCTTTAAGGTGCATGGTGTTATGACAAAGGGCAAAGGGCATACCTTGAAACATATTAAATTTCCTAGAGAGGTTATGGAATCTCTATCTTCGGAGACACTCAAAAGTAGGCAACAGAGGCTTGAGCATTGCTGCCTGATGAGACCTGCTTTGAGCACTGTGTTGGACTACATGACTGCCAGAGGTTCCTTCCTACCTAAATTATAATTCTGTGCAGCTTTCTAACAAAAAACATAGACACACCAATGGGAGTGGTGAAGGAAATCACTATCTAGTAAAAGGAAATACAAGAGAAAGCAAAAACGTTTGATTGGGAAGGTGGGAAATACAGACACATTACCAAAGATGATGTAGGACAAGAAAATTTACGTATAACGCAACGTTTAAATTTACAGAAACTAAGGAAGAATAAGAGGCATGAGTTACCACCAAAATGAGCAGATTATTAACAAACTGTCCAAAGACAGTACTTCTCAAATAGAAGTGCAGTTAACAGCTTCAGTGCCCAATAGGGAAAAAAGAAAATAGCCATTGGCCACATGGCTAAAAACTACATTCAACAGAGCTTCTGTAAAGCATTTGAATGAATTCTGTGACCAGGCAATTTTGACAGTCTTCTGTCAAAAATGTATTTTACATGCATTAGCATTGTTCCTTTAAACTTTTGTTTTTCTATAAAATAATTCACAGTTTTCAATTTGGGGATAAGACAGGACATTGTAAAATTCTGATATATTCAATATGTTTAATACTCATTTTTAGATTTTCTTCTTTTGTTTTTGCTTCATTTGCCAGTGAGTATAAAGGAAGGAGCACTGTGTAGGTATACTTACTTCACTTTCGTTTTCTCTGCACATTATTTTTTGTCAATCTATACCTCTCCATAGCTTATTGCACTTCTTCAAATGAAAAATAATAATATCAGTCAGTAAGAAAAGTAGTTAACAGGAAAAAAATATCAGTGAGGAAGAAGAAAGAATTAACCACAATATAAGAAGATATCTTTCTAAAGCATTTTTCATCTGAATATAATTTCAAAACACTGTTTTTTAAAATGTCCTATTTTTTAACATTTTTCTCAACCATTTCTAATTTAGCTTCCTGAGACAAAAGCATTTGCTGTCATACTGTGAGTTTGTCTGTTTATCCCTTATGCACAGCATGGTTTGGATCTATCAGCCAATTTCAGCCATATTTGAGAAAAGCAATTAGGGGATCAGCTCCTACAGCACCTGTACGTGACATATGGATCCAAAGCCAATGAAGCTATAGGTCCTTGGCCTCTGAGGAGCTGTGATGCAGTGCATTCTGCTGAGTGGTGGTCAATGGGCAGCAGCCAGCTTGCCTGTCAGTACGCTTACAGAAAGCAGTGAAGGTTCACCTTCTATTTATTTCCTGCCAGCCATAAAATAATGAAGAGCTGGGGTACAAGGTCCTGGACTGGCCCATAGTTTGGGAGTGAAATTCTGCTTCCTCAACTCCCACTAATCAGCCTAAATACCCCAAATATCCAGTAAAATACTCCAAATACCCAAGTTGAATGGCTGTGGCTTAGCCACTCTCTATGACCACAAATCATTATCTATAAGACTGTCTCCCAAATTTTGGGAAGAAAATTTACCAAAAAAAAAAAAATCCATTCATAACTGGAATGTCTGCTGTCTATACACAGTATGTCGTAAGCAGTCTTATCGTTTGTTAAGTTATGTAGCTTGAATCTTTACATTCCCTAGACATATGAAACTGTGCTTATATTATGCAGCAGCACTGCAAATCTGCTTCCTTTACAATTTACTGTAGGGCTTTAACAGTGTTATCAGAAAATTTAAGTCTGCCTGGATTTCAGTTAGACCATATCTACTTCTGCAAATGTTATTACTAGGATGTGTAAGATTATACAATCAAGCCCATTATAATTACATTGGAGAATAATAGCACTCTGCAATTTCAATGCCAATAGCATTTCAAAAGCATCCATAATAAATTTCTAGACGTAATCCAACTGATTTCCTGTCTTTGAAATCGGATTTTCTTCTTTTCTGAAGGTGAAAAACCTATTTCCATTTCCAAAGCTCAAAACTGAGTTAGACTGCAATTTTAATGTAATTTGTTTTGTTAGTATAATTAAATCAATAACT